GTGTGTGTGTGTGTGTGTGTGTGTGTGTGTGTGTGTGTGTGTGTGTGTGTGCGTGCGTGTGTGTGTGTGTGGTTCCAGTCACCGCTTTATGTGTGATTAACTTAATTTTTGCGCATTCCTTGTCGTCAGTACATCTTTGACAACAACCTTTCCTTGTCGTTAGTACATCTTTGGAAAACGTAAGAAAGGATAGAAGACCAAAGATGACATGGGAGGCGAACGGTACCAGCTAAAATGAAAAATGCGGGGACATGAAGGATACAGCTAGAAGAGGATGCACATGACAGGCTTCGCTGGAGAAATGTTGTTGATGGCTTATGCTCCACTGGGAGTTAAAAAATGCAAGAGAGAGAAGCGAGAGTACATCTTTGACAACAGCCTTTCCTTGTCGTTAGTACATCTTTGACGTTAGTACATCTTTGACGTTAGTACATCTTTGACAACAATCTTTCCTTGTCGTCAGTACAGGTATGACAACAACCTTTCCTTTCACCCCCTAGCCCCTGTTCCTGTACCTGGCCTACCAGTCTGTCCACGAACCACTACAGGTTCCCGAGGAATACGAAAGACAATACACTCACATCCAGGACTCAAAACGTCGATCTTACGCAGGTTCGTTAATGGTAACTCTTCCGAATTACACAACAGTTTTTTAAAATCTGGAAAAGACTCTGTGTGATATAATTTCAACTCTAGAATAACACTCCTGAAATCAACTGTTTTACTGTTTTTGCCCCGTGGAGTTAATTCTAATTTCTTTTCCTTTTTGGACGCGCGAGTTATTGATATTATTTTGAGGAAACATTTATTTGGTTTCAAATCATATAATGAATAATATATTCGAAAAAGTAAAATACCTGGTGCTCTGAAAGGGCATTGTCTGGATTCTCGAGTATAGAACCTGGCAGTGTTTCGCTACAAGGTAAATTAAAACTATTCCTACATCTGATCCGACGTTGTGTCCGTGCGAAAGGCACTTTACACGAATTTCCCATTTGGCTCCGTCCTTTCGGTTTTGTTCTGTGCTCCCCGTAAGGCTTGAAGCTCACATAAAGTCTCCCTTTCACGTGATCGGCGTGTCTCGTGCAAACTCTCTCGTCCAAAACTCTCTCCCCCCCCCCCCCCGGGCTGCCAGGAAGGTATTCAATGTAAAGAAAAGTGGCCAAGTATCCACATCAAGGAGTACCAATGATTGTTTCGTTTTCAAAATGTGTACCACTACTTTGTCCTATTTGTTCTAACTTTTCGTGATATCCGAGTGGCTGCTCCTCTGAAACTAAATGTGGCATGACGTGGTGGAATCAGGCGCTCGTCGATTTTGGGGCATTTGAGGTTATTGGTATCATCTTAGAGCCTGTTCAATTACTTTACTTTAGGTACAAAAAAATATCAATCTATGTTGAATAGAATAATCTATGTT